ACATTAAACAAGAAGAGTTATTTTCACAGTACAACTTCATGATTCAACAACTGGTTACACATAGGCTTTCAGTATATTAATATAAAATGAACAAATAAGGCAAGTGTCTTATTCCAAAACAGCGGATCATAAAAGGTGACGGTTTTCCATGTACGCGAAAGTTTTACTCTTTCATGTACTATATTGTATAGTAATCCTATGAATGATATCTGACTCAATTCCACGATATGATTTAATACTTAGCAAGAAAAAATTAGGTATATCAGTATTTCCTATCTTCAGGAATAAACAAAGTCATTGTCAATTCAGAAATTAAAAGAAGGTCCTGTGCCTCATACAAAGCTCTATCAGGCTAGCATGACGGATCCAGCAAAATTAAAAAAAAACATCAATTTGTAGCTAAATAGTTGTCAAAACAACGATTTTGTTGCTCGTGCCGATCCCTAGAAATCGCAAATAATGCTATCGTGATATAAAGGTAGCAAGGCAACTCAATAAATTATATACTTTTCCTTTGATCTTTACAGAAGATTTAGTTACTACTTAGTTGCTAAACCTTGGATATAGCGAAAAATTTTTAAATATTTTTTTTTTGCTTCCTTACATCTACTTAGTGTGGCTCACCAAGAGACAGAATCATCGGCAGCGTTCGACCGAACGTTCGTACAAGTTAACTAAGCTCTTCTTTCGCCAGAGAGTGCTCGCGTCGCACACCTGCCCCCGCCAACCATGCCAAATCAATTGGGAATATGGTCCCGGAAGTGGCCGGTCGGGGTCCTAAGCTCGGATACTAGTAGCTCCATCCAACCGGGGCCGACACCTCAAGCGTCTGCCTTGGTGCCCTCCAAGACTAGACTCGGATACTAGAGCCCGGAAGGACCGCGAACCCCGACACCTCGAACGCTCGGATCCGTACAGAAGCAGGCGAGGATCACGGAACAGCATAAGCCGTCCAGTGCCTCGGTATGAGGGTGCAATGCACCCATGAATGGATTACCGCATCCCCGTATTCCTTTGCCCGCTAGTGGAGCCACTGCCCCTAAGAGGCCAACGCCAGTTGGAGATGAGGCTCACTAGCCTCCAGCCGCGAGCGGGCACTCACCTCCCTCCTAGAACTCATGTTAGGAAAGTTCCCTTTCCAACGTTTGATGAGTAACCATCGAGGACTCTTTCGAGCATCCTCTACCACACTTCATATGTCGTAGATGTCGCGCCCATTACCCGTGTAGGTGCTGGATAGGGCGGTTCATCAACAACTTTTGGGTGTACGCCGTGTGGTCTGCACCGCAAACCCTTACGTTACCCCGAAGGGCACTCATGTTACCTTTCCAGCGTTGGATGAGTAACCGCCGAGGGCTCTTGCGAGACACCTTTCCCACACATCTAGCTTGAAACCGACCAACGCCTGTTACCCGCAGATGCGGGATTGGGTGGTTGACCGATAACTTTACTGGGTGAGTGCCGTGTGGTCTGCACCGGGGGACTGTCAAACACCCATAAGAGAGAGACAGTGATCCCCCGCCACTCACCCCGAAAAAAGTCCAAAAAAAGTCCAAAGGTGTCAAATATGGCGACCGGGCTGGCCATTCTGTAGGAACTCTACGGCCAATCCAACGACCGGGAAAAGGAGTATCCAAATAGTTTCTTAATTATCTGGAGTGATGTGGCGGTGCTCCATCTTGTTGGAATACAATATCCATATCGAATTCATTATGATTCGCTTCGACGATTTCAGTGATGAGAGGGTCAACAGTAGTTTCCCGCATATTCAAATACAGTTCCCCTGTTAAATTTTGATCAATAAATACAGATCCTACGATATGGTCACCCAATATTCCTGCCCAAACGTTAATTTTTTCGGGATATTGGGTATGTGTTTTCCGGAAAACGTGAGGGTTGGTGCCTCTCCAATATCGGCAATTTTGTCTGTGAACATTGCCGTTTGAAAAAAAATTATATTTCATCAGTTCGGACTTCCATTGTCTAATATCAAAAAAATTTAAATCACATTAGAATTAGACAATGGAAGTCCGAACTGATGAAATACACCACGAAACATTGTCAACCACCTTCAAACAAAAAAAAGTACATTCGTCACTAAAACTAATATTGAGGAGACAGGTAGGATGCCTTGCAATGGTTTCCGTCATGATTTCGCGGAATTCTGTTCTCCTATCAGGGTCATCTTCAGTTAATTGGTGTACCATTTTAGTTTTGTATGGATGATACCTATTCCTCTTCAAAAGTCTCTACACAGTAGAAGGAGACACCTCACAAACATTCAAGATGGAATAAGTAGACTGTTCAGGATTTACTACCATCTCTCTAATTATTTGCACGTGCTGTTCTTCCGGAATGAACGGATGACATTGGGGCTTTTTGTTATGAACACTACCGGTAATTGTGAATTTGGATACAAGTTTCCTCAAATATTTTCTACAGATAGGACGATTCGGAAAACGTTCATTGAAAATCCTATCGGTCTCGTGAAATTTACGCATCGCACCGTAAATAAAAATCGCTTCAATTTTTTCTTCCAATAGACGAGAATTGACCATTTAAGAGATTGTTGACGTGGTACCTTTCTACTAGTAAAACCGAAAACTAAATGAGAATATTCTAACTGAACAATGATGTTCATTTTTATACTGACATTTTTCGACGTTTTCATAAACAAAAAATAACTTAACAAACCTTATCGATACTAATGTGATTGTTTGTTCTCAGGAAATTATTAGGGTTGTAAAGTATTTGTCAGGAGCTTCAAAATGATATGTCACAGTACCTCCCTTTCCATTTAATTTTTTTTCCCAGATGGCGCCCAGATGAAAGTGTCATCTGTCAATTTCACTTCAAAATAAAGTATTCATGCATTCATTTCATTATCCCAAATTTCAATTTTTTGAGTTGACCCGTTCAAAAAATAAAAGGGGGTGACATTAAAGAACTGCACTGTATAATTATATTATCTCAAAACACTAAATCATTTCATTATTGCTATTTTGAGCATACATCTTCCTCTTCGTACGATAATAATAAAAATTTGGTTCAACGGTGCGAGAATATTATAAAATTTCAATAAAAATATTAAAGAAAACATACATCAGAGAAAAAATTCATCAGCAAAAATGAAGAATCAAGCTTGATCATAAATGGACTTCAAGTAAGTCACTTTTTGCTGTTCAAAAATAAAGTGAATGTTCAAGTTTCGCGAAGTACTCATATTCAATTAGCGATTTTTTTCATGTTTATTGTATGTTGCTATACTGGTCTCGAACATATGTTTACAGTTTCGGCAGTTTAGGGTTTTTAGTTTGTTGGTGAGAGGAATATAAATATAAATGTTAGAAATATTTTGCGTGTTCGGCGATTTTCTGTTAAAGAGAAAAAAAGATCAAGAAGTTTGCATCAAATTTTGTATAAAAAATGAAATTTAAGTGCTGAAAAACACTTGAAACGTTGACAGTGGCATACGGTGATTATACTCTGAGTCAGAAAAATTGTTCACGAGTTTACAAGCTTTTCACAGAAGTTCGGTAATATGTGAATGACTTTGCTCGCCCTGGACGCCCCAAAAACCAATGAAAATGTTGAGAAAGTAAAAAAGAATTGTCGAATCATTATTAGAGATGTCGGCATATCGGTTAGATCATGCCATGCAATTTTGGGCAAGAAGCGTGTGGCAGCGAAGTTCGTTCCAAAATTGCTGAATATTTACCAATGAAACCGTCGCATGATAATAATAATAATACATTACTTGGTTCCCAATAATTGAGGAAGGGGCCCCCACAATCGACCCGCTTGGTGGGGTCAGAGGCAAGGTGGTGGGACCCATAATGATGATTTGCCTACCGATGACAACCCTGGCAATAAAAACGGACGTTTTGAGTGGACGCATGAGCTAAGAGATAGCCTTCTGCATTGCTACGAGAGTAGTGAGCCCACGCGAAGAGGGTACAGGGCGAGATTGCATGCTCTGTGGTATGAAACACATCCGGAGCATGCCGCCTATTCCGCCCAAAACCTTAGGGATTACGTATCTTATCTTCGGCGACAGGGCTATTTAGCTCCTTCTCAGTCTGCTAACGAAGTGGTAGAAGTGACAGTTCTACCACCCGTTGGAAAGGCTGGAGAGGAGACTCGTCCAATACCACCAAGGGAGACGACAATCAGAACGCGCTCCACAGAATTAGGCCCCTGAAGCTACTAGAACTGGCTTGTTTCTAACAGAAGAGACTAACATCTGGCATATCAACACCGCCGTGTATAGCGTCGTCCAATCGCTTTCCGAATTGGAAGGACGATATCCCGGCCTTGCGATTCGGAAGATTGAACGGCGTGTACACAAGATGAAGGCTTAGATCACGTCGGCAAGACAACACGCATCACGTATCCAGGCCTTTCATGCCCGCAGTGCGGAGAACAGCCGCCAAACTACGACGTATCCATCACACTTTAAGTCAAGGCATGCCGCTGACCACCAAACAGCACTGCCTTGATAGTATACGAATGCTAGTGGCTGCTAAGAAGTCACTAGTGAGACGAGCGAGAAGTATCGCGGAAAACCTTAGGTTCCGCGAGAAACCTTCTCGCTTATTCCAAGAGCCTCCACGTGTTGTGGATAATCCGCCGACCGCTGATTAGGTGGAATCCTTCTGGAAGGATATCTATGAACACCCGCAGCCACTCAACTTAGACACTCCAGCCCTAGCGCAGTTCGAAGCTTTCAACAAAGAGCTTCGACAGCCTAAGCTCAATGAACTGCGCAACCCGAAAACCCCGGATGACGTTCGAAGGGCCTTTGTAGGTTACAAGAACTTTGCTGCTCCAGGCCCAGATGGGCTGAACACTTATTGGTGGAAAAAACTACCAAGTACCCACCGTCATCTGGCCAGAGTTTTCAACTCATGGCTGGACGGAAAGCAGCCGATTCCGGCTTGGTTTGACGAGAGGCGGACCGTTCTCATCCCCAAAAGCGGAGATTTGTCGATTCCTAAGAATTACAGACCTATAACATGTTTGAATTCGTGTTATGAGTTGTTTACAAGCATCTTATACACACGAATACTCACCGCAGTTGACCGAGTGTTCGAACGGATATATGAGCAGAGAGGTTCGAAGAGAGGAGTCGCTGGATGTACAGAGAACCTGCTCATCGATAGATGTGTAACGCACTCTATACAATATAAGCGTAACCTCTCTATGTCCTGGATCGATTACCGTAAGTCATTTGATACAATATCGCATGAGCTCATCTTGCATTTGCTCAGATGCCTTGCGGTACTCAACAAAATAGTGAGATGCATTGAACAACTGATATTACTGTGGCGAACTCGCTTCACCATAACATCTGGTTAAGCCAGAGTCCAAACAGGATGGATCACTTTCAGAACGGGTGTATTTCAGGGCAATTCCCTCAGTCCCCTTCTCTTCTACATCTCACTACATCTCACTCGAGGGTATATATGTGGCACCCACAGGAAACCAGAGGCACAAGGTCACCCATTTGTTTAATATGGATGATCTTAAACTTCATGCCTCTGGAGAGAAGGATCTCCATCAGTCCTTGAGGGTGGTGGAAGAGTACACGCATGCTATTGGTATGAAATTTGGGATAGACAAATGTGCAATGGTTCATCTCAAAAGAGGACGATACGGGGACTACGGAGAGGATGTGCAGCTCCTAGATGGATGCCGCATCTGGATGCCGGAGAGACGTATAGTTACCTCGGGGTGGAACAACGCCACTCACAAGAGATAACAGCAGTGAAGAACTCTCTCCGCGGCAAGTATCAGCACAAACTTCGACAGATCTGGTCATCGGAAATGTTGGGTAAGAACAAAGTTGCTGCAACAAATACGCTTGCCGTTCCAATCTTACTCTACTCGTTTGGAGTAGTGAAGTGGACTCGGGAGGAGCTGTACCAACTAGACGTAAAGACCCGAAAAATAATGCATTTCTATAGGAGTTTGCATCCCAAATCGTCAGTCCCACGGTTGTACTTCCCCCGACAAAAGAGAGGCCGTGGACTTTTGAGTTTGTAGTGTCTACATGACAGAATGGTACTGGATATAGCCTCTAAAGTCGTCAGGAGTTCGGAAACCCTTCTCTGCATGGTCCGTGACCATGAGAGAGCAGGAATTGGAGCATTTCTCTTTAGGGCAGCTGCCCGAGCAGCTGATAAACTCGGTTTAGTTTTCGACACTGAACGAGGCGACCACAACTCTGTCACCGAGTTGGAACCCGTTCAGCAAAAAGCTCATATAAAAGCCGCAGAGATCACTTCATAAACCAATGCATGGGGTCTTCTTCAATAACATTGAAGACCTTGGCTTATCAAGGCGCCTGACATTCGCTTTCCTCAGGTCGAGTGGGCTGAAGTCGGAAATTGAGAGGTTCGTCATGACTTGCTAGGATGGTGTCTTCAACACTTTAGTCTACAGCAATCGCTAATGGAATGTACGTAGCCCGCAAAATTTGAATATTCATCTTATTTTTTCAACAGATCTCGTATTATAGATATAAAAAACAATAAAGTAAATGAAACATACCTTCATCAGCTTCATGATGGACAATATCAGGGATCAATTCCTCTGCGTTCATGAATTTGTTAATCCTTTTTACGGAGACCCATGTCTATGTATAATAAAATAATTTCAATTGATACAAGAGATAAGTTCAGAAATTCAATGATCAAAAATTAAAACCACATTACCAGAAGAAGAATTCAATAGATTTTGATAAGCTTTCCCATTCAAATTGGAATAAGAATACGATAAACAGTACTTTTTGGAAAATGAAATGACTGAAGCGCACGTGACAATTTGGTATTTATAAATAGATTACTGCACTGAGAAATGACATTCTGTAACACCATAGTATTTTGTAGTAAAAAAGAAAAAGCAAACGAGGGTATAAAATATCATTTTCAGAAGGTTTGTCTTCAGTGAATTCGTGTTAATTTAAATGAAAAGAACTAAATTGTTCGTAAGAGAATTCATCGAGACTTTCGAATATAAAAGAACATTACTCGATTATTTTTTGTATTCATTTGAAGAGTACAGTAGCATGCCTCTTCAAAATGAAACTATCTTTTAATCAAACATAGTTATACGGAAAGCTGACAAAAAAGACTGAACTATTGAGTTGGAGAACATACACACTCAAATGTGGAAAAAAAAGTTTCTTACTTGGATTAAGTTTGATATCGTCATGGGTAACATGTTCAGCGGAAACCTTATGATATTGAATAGAGAGATAGAAACGAATGCCTTATTTGCATCTAGTACATTATTTTCATCCACCAGCACGTATGTAGCGAAAGTCACTAATGAGACCTAAAGCATGCATAAGAAAAAATATGAGAGTCACTAATATAAAGCATGTTAAAATGGTAATGCTAAGTTACAAGTAGACACCACCTTGTTACTTAGAATTATGAACAGTCCCTTTGAATAGGAGTATCAGAAAGCTTTGTCCATAATGATTAGACCCACTTTGAAATTTTTTGATTCGGAACTCCTTTTTTTTCCTTTGGAATAATCTTACGAAAGTGAAATTGATAAAGAATAAAATATATTGAATAATCCCCAACAATTTGTTCGTAAATCATTTTTACCAATTGACGAAAATTTCCAAGTTTTTTTTCTAACATATTGAGTCTATTTACAGATTATTGATAACATTCTATATATTTCAAATGATATAACTGTTCCAAAATTGAAAATATTCGGATCACTTAGATATGCCAAAATTATACTATTCCAAAAAAGGAATGAATACAAAGCCTTCCGAGTAGAGATTTATTGATCCCAAAAACCTGANGCGGTGGGAGTCAGAATGATGAATAATCTGAAGAGGTGTATGCTCAAGTTAAAGTGGAAACACCACACTCTTGCCTCTCATGTGAACCTACGACTTTTTAGGTACTTGTGGCAGATACCCGACGGAAAAACAACAAATAAACCAGTTAACGCCGCGCAGAAAACTGAAGTAAAACCATCAGGCGCCTGTGCAACGTCTTCCGTTTGGAAGATTCATCGCAAATAACTTCCTATATATGAGAAGCAAAAATTGACTTCATTCGTTCGAGATGACCACCGATGCACCGGTTTCGGGGTACTTACCCCTCGTCAGTACCGGGCAGGTCATTTCAGACGGAGTGAATCTTCTGAGTATTCCGAACAAACAAAATCAATCCGAACTAGTCATAAACTCTATCTGCAGTTAATTCAGTGGGATGTACCACTGCGTCATCTGCAGACAAAGTCCGGAAACAACTCCACAAACACATACTCCGCGGTGGGAGTCAGAATGATGAATAATCTGGAGAGGTGTATGCTCAAGTTAAAGTGAAAACACCACACTCTTGCCTCTCATGTGAACCTACGACTTTGTAGGTACTTGTGGCAGATACCCGATGGAAAAACAACAAATAAACCAGCTGACGCCGCGCAGAAAGCTGAAGCAAAACCATCAGGCGCCTGTGCAACGTCTTCCGTTTGGAAGATTCATCGCAAGTAACTTCTTATATATGAGAAGCAAAAATTGATTTCATTCCTTCGAGATGACCACCGATATACCGGTTTCGGGGTACTTGCCTCTCGTCATTACCGGGCAGGTCATTTCAGACGGAGTGAACCGTCTGAGTATTCCGAACAAACAAAATCAATTCGAACTAGCCATAATCTTTATCTGCAGTTGATTCAGTGGGATGTATCACTGCGCCATCTGCAGACAAAGTCCGGAAACAACTCCACAAACACAGTGGGAGTCAGAATGGTGAATAATCTGCAGAGGTGTATGCTCAAGTTAAAGTGAAAACACTATACTCTTGCCTCTCATGTGAACCTACAACTTTGTAGGTACGTGTGGCAGATACCCGACGGAAAAACAACAATTAACCCAGCTAATGCCACGCAGAAAGCTGAAGTAAAACCATGAGGTTCACATGAGAGGTAAGAGTGAGGTGCTTCACCTGTACTCAATCTTTTTTCAGATAGACAATATTAGTGGTTGTTTTTGAAAGCCAAAAACTAGAATTGTCAAATTTTGTTTATTGCCTATACTGCCTTCATTTCGATAGATATAAAAAAAAGGCGTAGGAACTTATACTCTTTCATGTTTTTTATAATCTAATAAAAAAAAATTGTTGGTGATGAAATATAATGAATGGAACGTGATTCCTGAAATGTAATAAGAATCTTTGCTGTGAAATATACAAACGAAATATTTGATGAGAAGATTTGAATCATAGATATGAAACTTTGGGCAACTATTAGACAACCATTAAAAACTGATTTGTAAAAACATTTTCAGCACATCTGACTGTAAACCCCTTTTTTTACTGGGTCCTAAATATACTATAAAATATGTAATACTTTTGAATATCGGATGAAGAAAATAACTTTTGTTAATATGAATTTTGTCAATACGAATTTCTACAAAAGAAATAGTTCATTCCAGCATTTAAATATGCTGCTTCTTTTAAAACTTTTATTTCTTTATCTCTAATTTTCAATACTTGATTTTCGAAACTCGGTTCCCAGGCATATAATTTCAATACTTTAATTCCATTCAAAATTTCATTCATCAATTTGACACGCTCATCTTTGTTCTTCATTTGCTTAACCTGCAGAACCTTGACTTTGTTGGCAATGAAGCCATTGATGGGTATCATAATTATCATCACTGCTAATCCAGCAAGCACCGATGGACCCAACTCTTTCCACAAGAAGTAGAGAGAAAGGCAAATTTGAAGTGGAGCAGACCATATCATGTTCAAATATCCCACCAAATCCATAAACTTTTGTGCATCAACTGCCATCAAATTGACGATTTCACCTACTGTGCTTTCTTTACGTGCACTATTGGAAATTCTCAATGCTTTTCTATAAATCGTTGATATCAACACAGTACGAATTCTCATCCCAATGATAAACATCTTGTTGAAGTACTGAGCTAGAAAAAGGGTTTGTATGGTAGCCGTTATAAACAGAAGTCCAGCATAAAAATATCCTTTCCATGTTTCCTGCCCGTCTTTGACATACGAAATTAAAAACCTAAAAAAAATCATAGAAAACTAACTAACCTCATTCATTTTAAAAATTTTATAATTCAATTCATCAATCCCCCAATTTTCATTGAATATTGAATACTATAAAAAAGAGTACATGAAAGGATTGTCCATAGTGATTTATTTTATTTATTTATTCACGGATTCAGAACCCATTTTACTCAATTCAATAAAAATTACAAAATAAATGAAAGGCGTTATGGAATATTTAAAAAAACACGCCTGGAAAACAATATAAAACAAATCAATGTTTGAAAGTTTGAACACAATACAATAGCAACACGGGGAACCAATATGTTATTCAAATCTCCCTTATTTGCAATGTACTATAAATTTAATCAACTGTGTCAGAAAGTAGACATTTATTCAACATCGTTTAAAGAAGTAATAAAAACTATTCTGTTTGTAAAGCAACAAATACTCATTTAATTTTTTAATATTTTTTTCAATGAAGGTATTACAGTAATACCTTACTTAAAATTTGTTTTTTTTTCTTTATTTTCTTTAAAATATAGAGGAAGATAGGTTAGGT